GGACAACAAACACAATTGCATTTTATCGATAGCAATTTGAATTGTCGTGCCATTCATCCGCCGCCATTACTCATGTTTCAGCATGATAAGGTATCTGTGACCAACAGATGCATATCTGTATTCCCAGTCAAGTGAAATCAGTAGATTAGGGCCTAATGAATTTATTTCAATTGACTGATTTCCTTATATGACCAGTAACTCAGTAAAATCTTTGAAATTGTTGCATTTATATTTTTGTTCAGTATACATAAAACACACACACACACCTCCTCCTCCTCTCTCAAACCTGTTCTTGGACCAGGGGTGGGGGGGGGTCAGGGGGGGTTGGAGAAGAGAGGAGAGAGGGGCGAAGAAAACAAACTGCATGGAGCTCGCATCGCTAAGGGCAACGGCCAATCAAAGGGGTTGTCAGCGGTTGCACTTGCTGAATAAATGACCCCGCCTTTGACAGGAAATTCCAAACAGCCATTTTAATTCTGATCAGGCTTCAAGGAAGTGGAAAGAATAAAAACACATCAATTATAATGACAGGAAGTCTGAGATCACATGGCCACCAGCTGGAGCCAACAGAGGGATCAAGGAGCCAGGAGAAGATGGTGGGAGGGGGGGGGAAGGAGGGAGGAGAGAAGAAAACAACACTCTCAGATTCCATACAGGGAATGGCATGAGGTTCCATTTTGTGAGACAATACTACACTTACAGTAACTGTCATTTCTGTACAGACCCAAGTGCTTGATGGTAAGGAGGACCAGAACAGAGCAATATAGTGGGATAGAACCGATGCTTTACATTACGGCTAGCTACCACACAGTGTTATGCAAATACTATGCTGGCATTCTCTCTCTCTCTCTCTCTCTCTCTCTCTCTCTCTCTCTCTCTCTCTCTCTCTCTCTCTCTCTCAAATGAGATGCTTTAAATATGATTTGGGTTAGTATTATATCCCAGCACATGTTAATAATAACGGTAAAGTAGCAGTTGGAATACACTAAGGGAAACGGGTCACAAAGCAGTAGCTAAGCCAACTTCTTTAGTTGTGAATGTGGACACTCCGCCAACCCTGATGTTCTAGCAGTGTCTGAATCCTGGCTTAGGAAGGCCACCAAAAATTCAGAAATGTCCATCCCCAACTACAACATTTTCCGTCTCGATAGAACTGCCAAAGGGGGTGGGGTTGCAATCTACTGTAGAGATAGCCTGCAGAGCTCTATCGTACTATCCAGGTCTGTACCCAAACAGTTTGAGCTTCCAAATCAAAAAAATGATATGCAACTTTTTAGGGAAGTCAGGAACCAATATACACAATCAGTTAAGAAAGCAAAGGCTAGCTTTTTCAAACAGAAATGTGCATCCTGTAGCACTAACTCCAAAAAGTTTTGGGACACTGTAAAGTCCATGGAGAATAAGAGCACCTCCTCCCAGCTGCCCACTGCACTGAGGCTAAGAAACACTGTCACCACAGATAAAACTACAATAATCGAGAATTTCAACAAGCATGTTGCTACGGCTGGCCATGCTTTCCACCTGGCTACCACTACCCCGGCCACCAGCTCTGCACCCTCCGCTGCAACTTGCCCCCCCCCCGCTTCTCCTTCACACAAATTCAGACAGCTGATGTTCTGAAAGAGCTGAAAAATCTGGACCCCTACAAATCAGCTGGGCTAGACAATCTGGACCCTTTCTTTCTAAAATTAGCCGCCGAAATTGTCGCAACCCCTATTACTAGCCTGTTCAACCTCTCTTTCGTAACGTCTGAGATCCCCAGAGATTGGAAAGCTGCCGCGGTCATCCCCCTCTTCAAAGGGGGTGACACTCTAGATCCAAACTGTTACAGACCCATATCCATCCTGCCCTGCCTTTCGAAAGTATTTGAAAGCCAAGTTAACAAACAGATCACCGACCATTTCGAATCCCACCATACCTTCTCCGCTATGCAATCTGGTTTCCGAGCTGGTCATGGGTGCACCTCAGCCACGCTCAAGGTCCTAAATTATATTATTTAAAAAAAGACAGTACTGTGCAGCCGTCTTCATCGACCTGGCCAAGGCTTTCGACTCTGTCAACCACCGCATTCTTATTGGCAGACTATATAGCCTTGGTTTCTCTAATGACTGCCTCGCCTGGTTCACCAACTACTTCTCAGATAGAGTTCAATGTGTCAAATCGGAGGGCCTGTTGTCTGGACCTCTAGCCGTCTTTATGGGGGTGCCACAGGGTTCAATTCTCGGGCCGACTCTATTCTCTGTGTATATCAATTATGTCGGTCTTGCTGCTGGTGACGCTTGGATCCACCTCTATGTGGACAACACCATTTTGTATACATCTGGCCCTTCATTGGACACTATGTTAACAAACCTCCAAACGAGCTTCAACGCCATACAACACTCATTCCGTAGTCTCCAACTGCTCTTAAACACTGGTAAAACTAAATGCATGCTCTTCAACCGAACGCTGCTTGCACCCGCCCACCCGACTAGAATCACTACTCTCGGCGGGTCTGACCTAGAGTATGTGGACAACTACAAATACCTAGGTGTCTGTTTAGACTGTAAACTCTCCTTCCAGACTCACATTAAGCATCTCCAATCAAAAGATAGATCTAGAATCGGCTTCCTATTTCGCAACAAAGCCTCCTTCACTCATGCTGCCAAACATGCCCTCGTAAAACTGACTATCCTACCGATCCTTGACTTCGGCAATGTCATTTACAAAATAGCCTCCAACACTGTACTCAGCAAATTGGATGTAGTCTATCACAGTGCCATCCATTTTGTCACCAAAGCCCCATATAATACCCACCACTGTGACCTGTACGCTCTTGTTGGCTGGCCCTCACTACATATTCGTCGCCAAACCCACTGGCTCCAGATCATCTATAAATCACTGCTAGGCAAATCCCTGTCTTATCTTAGATCACTGGTCACCATAGCAACACCCACCCGTAGTCTGCGCTCCAGCAGGTATATCTCACTGGTCATCCCCAAAGCCAACACCTCCTTTGGCCGCCATTCCTTCCAGTTCTCTGCTGCCAATGACTGGAACGAACTGCAAAAATCTCTGAAGCTGGAGACTCTTATCTCCCTCACTAACTTTAAGCATCAGTTATCAGAGCAGCTTACCGATCACTGCACCTGTACACAGCCATTCTGAAATTAGCCCACCAAACTACCTCATCCCCATATTGTTATTTATTTTGCTAATTTGCACCCCAGTATCTCTATTTGCACATCATCTTTTGCACATCTATCTTTCCAGTGTTAATACAACATTTTAACTATTTTGCACTATGGCGTATTTATTGCCTTACCTCCATAACTTACTACATTCGCACACACTGTATATATATTTTCTGTTGTATTTTTGACTTTATGTTTTGTTTACCCCATATGTAACTCTGTGTTGTTGTTTTTAATCGCACTGCTTTGCTTTATCTTGGCCAGGTCGCAGTTGTAAATGAGAACTTGTTCTCAACTGGCTTACCTAGTTAAATAAAGGTGAAATAAAATAAATAAATCAAATTTGGAAGACCCATTTGCGACCAAGCTTTAACTTCCTGACTGATGTCTTGAGACATTGCTTCAATATATCAACATAATTTTCCTTCCTCATGATGCCATCTATTTTGTGAAGTGCACCAGTCCCTCCTGCAGCAAAGCACCCCCACAGCATGATGCTGCCACCCCCATGCTTCACGGTTGGGATGGTGTTCTTCGGCTTGCAAGGTACCCTTTTTTCTCCAAAAATAACGATGGTCATTATGGCCAAACAGTTCTATTTTTGTTTCATCAGACCAGAGGACATTTCTCCATGTCTCCATGTGCAGTTGCAAACCGTAGTCTGGCGGTTTTGGAGCAGTGGCTTCTTCCTTGCTGAGCAGCCTTTCAGGTTATGTCGATATAGGACTCGTTTGACTGTGGATATAGATACTTTTGTACCTGTTTCCTTCAGCATCTTCACAAGGTCCTTTGCTGTTGTTCTGGGATTGATTTGCACTTTTCGCACCAAAGTACGTTCATCTCTAGGAGACAGAATGCATCTCCTTCCTGAGCGGTATGACGGCTGCGTGGTCCCATGGTATTTATACTTGTGTACTATTGTTTGTACAGATGAACGTGGTACCTTCAGGCATTTGGAAATTGCTCCCAAGGATGAACCAGACTTGTGGAGGTCTACACATTTTTTTCTGAGGTCTTGGCTGATTTCTTTTGATTTTCCCATGAAGGTAGGCCTTGAAATACATCCAGAGGTACACCTCCATTTGCCTCAAATGATGTCAATTAGCCTATCAGAAGCTTCTAAAGTCATGACATCATTTTCTGGAATTTTCCAAGCTGTTTAAAGGTACAGTCAACTTAGTGTATGTAAACTTCTGACCCACTGGAATTGTGATACAGTGAATTATAAGTCTGTAAACAATTGTTGGAAAACATTACTTGTGTCATGCACAAAGTCGATGTCCTAAACGATTTGCCAAAACTATAGTTTGTTAACAAGAAATTTGTGGAATGGTTGAAAAACAAGTTTTAATGACTCCAACCTAAGTGTATGTACATTTCTGACTTCAACTGTATACCAATTTCACATTAAATGCATTAAATATTCCAAAACATTTTATTTCAAACCAAATCTAGACTAAACAGAATCCAAATGTAGTGTCTCAGTTCCAATTCAGTCGGATGAGACAGAGACACAGTTAGAGACAGATACAGCCACCATTCCAGGTGATCCTCTGACAGCGGCAGCCATCTTGTATTACCCCCAGACAGTCAGTCTGCATCTACTTAGAGCTGGGAGTCATTGCGGTGTATGTTCTCTCTGATTCCAGGCAGCTAGAGTAGAGACAAGCAGGCAGGCATCTCATTTTTTAAAAGCCTCGTCCTGCTCTCTCTCTCTTTGTCTTTCACTCTCTGCTCTCTCTTATTCTCTCTCCTTCCCTCTCTCAGGAAATGGAGGGCTGTGTCGGTCAAATGGATTTAAATCACGACAGGTTTACAGACTGTGGATCAAACCAGGCAGTAAGGCCCACAGCCCATCTGACAAGTAATGGCAATCAGATCAATGTGGACTTCTCCGTTTTCACAACTGTAGAGTGTGTGTTGTTTTTTAATTTTTTTTGTAGAGGGTATGTTGTAAAGAGGGAGCAATCGATATTGCTGTGTTATGTCAATTATAAAATACTCACACACACACACACACACATATACACACACATATACACACACGCGCACGCACACCTTACACACTCACCCTCAGACAGATGGGTAGTGCCAGTGATGGGCGTCTGAGTCTCTTTGCAGTACGACACCACCTCTCTGGGTAGGAAGTCCACCTGTGTGATCTTAGACGCCCCCAGTCTATGCATCCTGCGCCTGGATGGAGAGAGACAGGAAGTAGTGGGTCACATAGCATTATGGGTACTGTAGTACATCATGCTACACACTTCAGCACTGCTGACCAACACACACACACACACAAACAACAGTACACACACACACACACACACACACACACACACACACACACACACACACACTGGTACATTCAAGCACAAAACACTGAAACATTTAATATGGCGATTCAGTCCTTTGTGTTTGCAGTACCTCATCAGGGCTTAATTCAGTAGGGCATAATGTTGTGGAACATTCAGATAGAAATATATTGCATAGAACAGCCATGCCAATCTGACATTCAGCTCTATTCATGGTATTTCTATTTGAAATGTTATGCTTGTTTCACATCTCTGAATACACCCCTGGTGTTCAGACAGCCCTTCTCTGATTGAACCACACACCACCCCAAGAGGAGCAAGGATAGAGAGAAGGAAAAAATACGGAAAGAGAGGAGAGGAACCAGTAAGTACCCTAGCTCGGAGTCATCCTGCAGCTGCAGAACAGAGGGGTCAGTGTCCCACTGCAGGGTCCTCGGGTGGGCAGCAGGGGGCGCAAGGGAGGGAGGGAGAACACATGCCATGTTAGGAGGTGAGCCACCTCAGATAAACACATTCTGAGCTGGGTTGGGATACATTTCAGTTAATTTCAATTCTGTTGAATCAGGAGATTACTTGAGATTCCAAATCCTCTTTTCAATGGGGATTTTTCCATTCTTGATTTGGAATTTAAATTAATTCCTTGATTGTCTGAATTGAAACAGAATTGACACAAACCACACCTTCACACATGCATGCACACGCATGCACACACACACACACACACACACACACACACACACACACACACACGTAACAGAATAACTTTAGACAAAAATACACATACAAGGGCATTGAGACACACAGGACAAACACAATCAATTATTGGGGACATGACAGTTGGTTATTTCAATAGGGAACATGTTTAGGTTTTAACATGTATCTATCTATCTCCTGTTATAGATTCTTGGCAAAATATCAGAAGATATATTTGATGAAGATTAAATTATGGTGGGACAATGTACAATGTACAACATTTGTATAAAATGTCATGGTAATATGAACATGGTTTAATAACTATGTAAATAACAACTTGATGACCAAAAATGTATAAGGCAATATGTCTTATAGAAATATGTATTATCTGTTCTTCAAAATCCAAATGGATGGACAAATATAAAATTATCCCCCAACATAATGCGACATAAGCGCAGAAGCTTTACAAACAGATATGCTGTATCTGTTTGATCATCCTTTCACCCACACCGTGTCTCACAAAGACACGGAGGATGGAACCAAAAATCTCAAGAGTGTGCAGAGCTGTCATCAAGGCAAAGGGTGGCTATTTGAAGAATCTCAAATATAAAATATATTTGGATTTGTTTAACACTTTTTTGGTTACTAGATGATTCCATATGCGTTATTTCATAGTTTTGATGTCTTCACTATTATTCTACAATGTAGAAAATAGTAAAAATAAAGAAAAACCTTAAATGAGTAGGTGATCTAAAACTTCTGACCAGTAGTGTATATATAGCTTTACAAACAGATATGTCGTACTTCCATCTATAATATAATATAATAATAATAATATAATATGCCATTTAGCAGACGCTTTTATCCAAAGCGACTTACAGTCATGCGTGCATACATTTTTTTTTTTTTTTGTGAATGGGTGGTCCCGGGGATCGAACCCACTACCTTAGCGTTACAAGCGCCGTGCTCTACCAGCTGAGCTACAGAGGACCACATCTTTCATATATATAGTTTTACAAACAGATATGTTGTACTTCCATCTTTCATTTATATAGCTTTACAAACAGATATGTTGTATTTCCATATTTCATATATATAGTTTTACAAACAGATATGTTGTACTTCAATCTTTCATATATATAGCTTTACAAACAGATATTTTGTATTTCCATCTTTCATATATGCCAGTTTGTGCCAACAATACAGGACATTGAACCAGCACACAATGTATGCATCTTCACATACAGTCTACACAAGTCACAATACATGTACACAATCACATTCAGCATATGAAAGCAGTTTTATGACATACAGTACCAGTCAGAAGTTTGGACACATCTACTCATTCAAGGGTTTTTCTTTATTTTAACTATTTTCTACATTGTAGAATAATAGTGAAGACATCAAAACTATGAAATAACACATATGGAATCATGTAGTAACCAAACAAGTGTTAAACAAATCAAAATATATGATATATTTGAGATTCTTCAAAGTAGCCACCCTTTGTCTTGATGACAGCTTTGCACACTCTTGGCATTCTATCAACCAGCTTCACCTGGAATGCTTTTCCAACAGTCTTTTAAGGACTTCCCACATACGCTGAGCACTTGCTGGCTGCTTTTCCTTCACTCTGCGGTCCAACTCATCCCAAACCATCTCAATTGGGTTGAGGTCGGGGGATTGTGGAGGCCAGGTCATCTGATGCAGCACTCCATCACTCTCTTTCTTGGTAAAATAGCCCTTACACAGCCTGGAGGTGTGTTGGGTCATTGTCCTGTTGAATAACAAATGATCGTCCCACTAAGCCCAAATCAGATGGGATGGCATATCACTGCAGATTGATGTGGTAACCATGCTGGTTAAGTGTGCCTTGAATTCTACATAAATCACAGACAATGTCACCAGAAAAGCACCATCACACCTCCTCCTCCATGCTTCACGTGGGAACTACACATGCGAAGATCATCCGTTTACCTACACTGCGCCTCACAAAGACACAGCGGTTGGAACCAAAAATCTCCAATTTGGACTCCAGACCAAAGGACAGATTTCCACCAGTCTAATGTCCATTGCTCGTGTTTCTTGGCCCAAGCGAGTCTCTTCTTCTTATTGGTGTCCTTTAGTAGTAGTTTCTTTGCAGCAATTCAACCATGAAGACCTGATTCATGCAGTCTCCTCTGAACAGTTGATGTTGAACTCTGTGAAGCACTTATTTGGGCTGCAATTTCTGAGGCTGGTAACTCTAATGAACTTGTCCTCTGCAGCAGAGGTAACTCTGGGTCTTCCTTTCCTGTGGCGGTCCTCATGAGAGCCAGTTTCATCATAGCGCTTGATGGTTTTTGCGACTGCACTTGAAGAAACTTTCATAGTTCTTCACATTTTCCGTATTGACTGACCTTTATGTCTTAAAGTAATGATGGACTGTCATTTCTCTTTGATTATTTGAGCTGTTCTTGCCATAATATGGACTTGGTCTTTTACCAAATAGGGCTATCTTTTGTATACCCCCCCTACCTTTTCACAACACAACTGATTGGCTCAAACGCATTAAGAAGGAAGGAAATTCCACAAATTAACTTTTAACAAGGCACACCTGTTAATTGAAATGCATTCCAGGTGACTACCTCATGAATCTGTTTGAGAGAATGCCAAGAGTGTGCAAAGCTGTCTTCAAGGTAAAGGGTGGCTATTTGAAGAATCTCAAATATAAAATACATTTTGATTTGTTTTACACTTTTTGGTTACTACATGATTCCATATGTGTTATTTCATAGTTTTGATGTCTTCACTATTATTCTACAATGTAGAAAATAGTTAAAATAAAGAAAAAACTTTGAATGAGTAGGTGTGTCCAAACTTTTGACTGGTACTGTATATAACACCAATATGTCATGTATTAAGAATATATTTTGTTTATACAGTATATGCTTAGTGATAAAGCTGTGCTTGCTTTTGTTTGTGGGACAATCATTCAGGGTGGCTTATAAACAAACTGGAGCTTTCTCTAAAGTCATCTCCCAAAGTGCAAATTGTGACAGGGTAGCTAGCATTTTTTACCCGCAAAACTTCTCAATGATACCTTTTAGGAATGGTGAACATGCCCATTACCACTTTAACAGATGCACAATGCTAGTAGAGCGTGGTAAAGCGTCAACCGCGTCACTCGCCCCGACTGTCTTAACTGGGATGCCACCCTAAAAGACTGTATTGTCAGTCCCGTCACAGAGAAATGACATCTATTGAACCATGTGAGTGGAAATCTTTCAAGCCGGCGCTTAGGGAAACAGCAGGTGTCAGGCAGCAGTCACCCAAGAGGGAACAAACAACTCTTTGTAGCTTTTTATGCCTGACAGAAACACACCTGCCATAACATTCACTGTCTATCTGTATCACTGTGTCTGTATGTCTGTATGTCTGTTTCTCTGTTTGTGTGTCCTGTCTGTGGGCGAAAAGCTTGGGCTTGAGCATTCCTTGCTCTGAGTAGAAAATACTTACCTGTCACTCTGAGCTTGTGACTGATGCTTACTAACGCCAGACAACCCTGACCTGAGAGGGGACACAGTCATAAATGGACACACTCAACATGGGACACCGTCACGATGACCAACACACCATGCCTGATGGGGACAGCAGCCTCACACACCAGAGGAGGCTGTTAGGTGGACATATAGAAGGATAGGCTCATTGTAGGTTTCCATATGTTGGATGTGGTTGATACCGTTCCATTTATTCCATCCATTCCAGCCATTACAATAAGCCTGTCCTCCTATAGTTTAACCCACCAGCATCCTCTGTCACACACTATTCACCTCTGTAATGGAAGTCTGCTTAGCAAACAGAGAATAGAGTTCCATTCTTGAGGGGGATTGTACTCTATTGCGGTTCTGGGGGTCCTTCTCAGTGTCAGATATCTGATTCAGTCCACACAATTGGACTGGATAGCACAGTTGCATTAGTCATCAGTGCTGGTTTGGTGTGTGAGAATGAGATGAACGTGAGCTATGATGACACATAAGCATGTATGACACATGGGTTGCAGCAGTGCCACAGCATGACGCCTGTGAACATATCCTGGGCTTCCGGATGAAAGCAGAGACAGGTCCTGAGCTAGCATGACATGTCACATTGGGCTCACTTTCTGTGCTGCAAGGCAAACTGACAGTACATTATATGCTCTTAATTATAGACCTGTCTGCAGGCTAAGGGTGCAGACAGACGGACCAGATCAATCCCTATGTCACTGTGTGACTTCTGATTAGGAGGCTGCATCTTCAGAGAAGTGAGAGTTGAATCATGTGCATCAAGTTGATATCTACAGAGCATTCTAGCATGTACAGGACTTGGAAGACATTTTGTGGCTCACCAAGGATGCTCTCTGAAAAGTTAACCATTTAAATTACTATCTTTCCCAAAAAATTAGGATTGGGGCTTAAAATACCAGAAAACAAAAGTAACTTGGGAGAGTTTGATATGCAAGTCAAATCTGAGTCTGAATAATATTCTCATCACACAGTTTAGAGATTAAATGTTCTCTTGCGAGTTGTGCTTATGTCATAATAGAATGAGATAAATGACAGTGACAGACTGTATCAAAACACACAGCTACAAGACACAACATCCAACAACAACCCTCACTGACATTGGTCCTTACCTATACCTGCAGATCCCATACAAAGAGACAAAGAGAGATATGTGAGTGAGCTAGGAGCATAGATAAACTGTCTGCTCATAGTGTTTGGTCACTTAACTACAACCCCCAGGTCATTAAAGGAATATTACTCTAAAAAGATATTGACCATTAGTCCACTGTTAATAAAATCCCCCAAAATGGTGAATGTCAGCAGTCAAGATAAATAACTTTCAGTAGAGCAAAGACTTGCCTTGATGCATCATATGATGCATTTTGCATTCCTTTAAGCCAGGGGACACAGCCAAAGGGCCACTAGAATACTACAGGAATACTACAGTAATACTACAGTAATAATATATTTATTTTATATAGCGCTTTTCATTACAAACAAGAATCTCAAAGTCGCATTGAAAACAAAAACAAATGTAATACTACTGAATCTAAACAGTCAATGATAATCTTTCAGAGAACACCCTTGATGTATTGGATGATAAGCATCATAATCATTATATTATAATCTCAGCAATATTCCAGTTACTCTTGCCCTGGCCCTCATCTGGGTCAGTAACTCTAACTCAACCATATGTTATAATAAAGTATAATAATAGTCATATAAACAAGATGGCTGCCTACCTGCCGGCTGCGGCCCCATCGGCTGAGTCCTGACTTCCCGTCTCACTGGGGGTGCTGTGTCGGCTCACTGATTTGGATGGGGACATGGGGTTCGGGACTAAATAATGAAAATAACACGTATCCAACATTAAAGGCTGCAGCGGATGGACTGGTCAACCCAAGCAATGCCAGAGAGACAGTGGGTGGCCGAAAGGAAAAACAGGGTGAAATGGTTGAAAGCAAATGAGTGATAAAAAATAATGATTAAATGAAAACACAAAGGGGACAGAAAGTCAAGTGGATTCCTCATTTACGATTCAAGTCAAAGCAATCATGGCTTTCATTGGTCATTGGTGTCACGCCCTGGCTCTGGGGACGCTGGTATATTGAGCCAGGGTGTGAGTGTTCTTTATGTTTTGTGCTCGTTATGTCCGTTCTAGTGGTTGTATTTCTATGTTGGCCAGAGTGGTTCTCAATCAGAGGCAACGAGTGTCAGCTGTTGCTGGTTGTCTCTGATTGGGAACCATATTTAGACAGGCTGTTTTCCCACAGTGTTGTGGGATCTTGTTCCAGTGTGGTTTGTGTTAGACCGCGGACGTCACGTTATCGTTTGTTGTTTTGTTCGTGAATTATTAAATAAGTATGTTTGCATTCAACGCTGCGCCTTGGTCCTCTGTTCCCGACGATCGTGACAGAAGATCCCACCAAGACTGGACCAAGCAGCGTGTCCAGGAGCCATCGCCAGGGAGATCTCTAGCGGATCTCCTTCGCCTCCTCGACTGGGTCAAGCCGTGTGAGGAAGAGAGGGGCTTGACTTGGAAGCAGAAGGGCGAAAGGTGGGCGAGAACCATGGAGGCCTGGTCCACGGGGGAGAGACAAGCCCAGAAAATGTTTAGGGGGGGGCTCACGCCGTGGACGACGGGGCAGCAGGAGGCCGCGATAGAGCGGTCCAGCGGGTTGGCAGAGGAGGCTGCCAGGTTACGGGGGCCACTGGTCACAAAGGGGAAGGAAAGTGTAGAGGCACGGCGAGAGGTACTGGGGTGTGTTACCAGTCCGGTCCGGCCCGTTCCTGATCCCCGCGTAGGGCCAGTGGTGTGTGTCCCCAGTACGGTCCGGCCTGTTCCTGTTCCTCGCATCGAGCCTGTGGTGCGCGTCGCCAACCCGGTCCGGCCTGTTCCTGCTCCCCGCATCGAGCCTGTGGTGCGCGTCGCCAGCCCGGTCCGGCCTGTTCCTGTTCCCCGCACCAAGCCTATGGTGCGCGTCGCCAGCCCGGTCCAGCCTGTTCCTGCTCCCCGCACCAAGCCTATGGTGCGCGTCGCCAGCCCGGCCCGGCCTGTTCCTGCTCTCCGCACCAAGTCAGTGGTGCGCTTCGTCAGCCCGGCTCGGCCTGTTCCTGCTCCCCACACCAAGCCAGTGGTGTGCGTCGTCAGTCCGGCACAGCCCGTGCCTGTTCCACCGGTGCCTGGTCCGGTACCGGTCAGCTGCTCCACGTCGGAGCTAGAGCAATCCGCTCCACCAGTGTTCAGTCCAGCTCCGGCCAGCAGGGCCAGACCGGACCAGGGGTACTGTGGGGGGTTAGAGAGGGAGTGGGGATCATGCCCAGAGCCGGATCCGCCGCCAAGGCGGAGTGCCCACCCGGTCCCTCCCCTGTGGTGTTCTGTTGGCGCGATCAGAGTCCGCGCCTTTGGGGGGGGGGGGGGTACTGTCACGCCCTTGCTCTGGGGACGCTGGTATATTGAGCCAGGGTGTGAGTGTTCTTTATGTTTTGTGCTCGTTGTGTCCATTCTAGTGGTTGTATTTCTATGTTGGCCAGAGTGGTTCTCAATCAGAGGCAACGAGTGTCAGCTGTTGCTGGTTGTCTCTGATTGGGAACCATATTTAGACAGGCTGTTTTCCCAGTGTTGTGGGATCTTGTTCCAGTGTGGTTTGTGTTAGACCGTGGACGTCACGTTATCGTTTGTTGTTTTGTTCGTGAATTATTAAATAAGTATGTTTGCATTCAACGCTGCGCCTTGGTCCTCTGTTCCCGACGATCGTGACAATTGGAAGGTTTCATTGACAAAAGCCACTGTTGTACAACAACCAAAAGGTCATGTTGCGATCAAGGTGTTGTTACAATATTGTACCACTAGAGAACACTGACAAATACCTTTTTAAACTTACATTATTAGGGTAGTGAGAAACAGTATGTTTTCAACTGTTGTTAAGCCCATCATTTCAATGTGAAAATGTGGATGTTCTCCACATATATTTGCATACAACAACTCCACCTCAATATCATGGGCTTGAGGAAACACCTGGGCATAGATAAAGTGCTCATAAAATACTACACTCTTAGAAAAAAGGATTCCAAAAGGGTTATTCGGCTGTCCCCATAGGATAAACCTTTTTGGTTCCAGGTAGAACCCTTTTGGGTTCCATGTAGAACCCTCTGTGGAAAGAGTTCTACCTGGAACCAAAAAAGGTTCTTCAAAGGGTTATGTTATGGGGCCAGCCGAAGAACCCCTTTAGGTTCAAGATAGCACCACACATGAGGAAATAAATCAAATAAAAAACATAGGAAAGATAAGATGAAATGGAAAAGGTATGAAATTGTTAGAAATAAAAATTGAGAGCATGTGCATAACATCATGGAGGACGAACTTTCACAGAAATTAAATTAATGGTATGACATTTTAAGATTTTCTCACATGTGAATTCTAAAATATTTCAATTTATTTTAGACATTGTGAGGAAATAGAAAAGTGAACTTGAGAAACAAGTAATGATCATGTGTAAAAAAAAAAAACACACACAAAAACACTGGATATTACAGATGTGTAAAAGTAAAACGGCAAATTCAACTCTTGTCGCATGCAACAGTAGCAAGCACATATACTGTATATAGATAAAAGGAAGAACAGAACATATGTTTGTTCCATTACAGCTCACCATATATATGATGATGGTTTCTGCCATAGAAATAAGAATGACTAGAACGGACTTGGAAGCTCTAACCCTGGCAATTGACTGGTAAACTCATGGGTCACTCCGAATGGCTGCCTGGTATTGTGATGCAAACATTTCCACTGTATTTTGGAATGTTATACTGTATCAACTGATGCTGGATTGCCATGGTAATGTAGAATGTTAATTCAAATGATGCTAACTGATGTGGCTCATGCAATGGAATGGATTTTTTGTAATTTCAGTTGAGTTGACTGAACAAATCACAGCACAGATTGAAGGGTACATTTCTTGATTTTACTTCCTGGCATGGGTACACTCAAAATGGCTGCCAGTCTACCCATTATGCCATCATTGACTTGAATGGAGACACCCTTTCTATTCATTCTTATTTCTATGGTTTCTGCCTCACAGAAACACTAACTGTAACTTTGTTTGAGGAGCTCATCCCTAACTAATTTTAGTTGTGTTGTGCAGTGTGTGTGTCTGTGTACCTAGTGGGGGTTCTGGGGAGATGCCAATGCTCTGTAGGAGGGCCTCAGTCTCTCTGCGCTTCCGGTCCAAGTCGGAGTCCACTGGGGCAGCTTCAGCCTTCTGCTGCGTCTCTGTCTGTACACACACACACACACATACATACACACACACACACACACACACTGAGTATACCAAACATTAGGAACACCTTCCTAATATTGAGTTACACACGCCCTTTCTGCCCTCAGAACAGCCTCAATTCGTCGGGGCGTTCCACAGGGATGCTGGCCCATGTTGACTCCAATGCTTCCCACATTTGTGTCAAGTTGGCTGGATGTCCTTTGAGTTGTGGACCATTCTTGATACAAACGAGAAACTGTTGAGCATGAAAAACCCAGCAGCGTTGCAGATCTTGACACAAACCGGTGCGCCTGGCACCTACTACCATTCCCCGTTCAAAGGCACTTAAATCTATTGTCTTGCCCATTCACCCTCTGAATGGCACACATACACAATCCATGTCTTAATTGTCTCAAGGCTTAAAAATCCTTTATTTAACCTGTCTCCTCCCCTTCATCTACACTGATTGAAGTGGATTTAACAAGTGACATCAATAAGGGATCATAGCTTTCACCTGGTCAGTCTATGTCATGGAAAAAGCAGGTATATATACACACACACACACACACACACACACACAAATGTAGTACATTAGTTCGCAATAGGATATTAGCATGATGAGGTCTATGGCTCAGCTTCACTATGGACAGACAGGGATGAGCTTTAAAGAGTGGGTCTACTCACTTTCTTCCCACCTTACCTCTTTCTTTTTCCTTTCCTCCTCCTTCCTCTTCTTCTCCTCCCTGATCTGAGCTAGGCGCTGCTTTTTGCGCTCTAGCTCGGCTTTTATGTCACTTTTGTCCGCCATTGTTTCCTATTGAGCTTGGAAAGAAGGAATGTCACACAAGGATGCAATGTACCTTCTGCACTAGAGAACTGCTACTGGGTGTGGCCCTGGGTCTTCCGTTTCTTTCTGTTTGGCCTGTAACATGATCCATATTCCCTAACAATTCAGGGGATAAATAAGTCCATCATCTACCTGCATCTCCCGGTCAATGTATTGTGGTAGGGTCAATACTAAATAATCATACTTCACTTGAAGGCACCACCAATGCAAGGGCAAGGGTTGGCTAATTTGGTAACAATACAAAATCTGAATATTGAATTATAGTAAAAGGACAATGACACCATAAGCAAGGCATTGCATTAAGTTGATACTCCCAAAACGGCCTGGTTTGGATCTGAAACACGCCCAAGTACATGCAATGTATTTATTCTAGTACAGTTGTGTGATGTAAATAGCATCATTGAGGAAGGCCAATGTCTCTCCATTGTGAGACAATGCTGGGCTGAGCAGACAGGAGGGAATACAGCCGAATAAAATAGGTAATGAACAAAAGTGGAGGATAAAATAAACACTTTATTGAAATACTTGACACACAAAACAATACAATTCAAATGAACAGACGCAGTAGGTAGCAATTGGCAATGCATAAGATGCAACTACTGTACCCCTTCGGAGTGGAGAAAATTATGTTTTCCCCTTTAACACACATATAGGTAAGGATACATTGGGTATTAGCAATTACGTCATTTTTCAATGCGCCTCTTCTTCCCACGATCCAAAGCCATACAGAAACACCCAGCAAAATAGCAAATAGACGACCACAAATGACACACATGCTACAAATGTATGTAATAAATAATTATATTGCCTCGTAAAGACTTGTCATACCTGATCTTTCTTTCCCTATGGATGACGATGATGATGATAATGTGTCACTTGCAAAGAAAGATGCTGTTTCACGCGGCTGCTACACCCCCGGCAAATCACCACATTATTTCTCTAATGATATTTAACCAACAAACCTCGGATGTATGGTAAAAAGAGGTCGTTTCAGTTCAGATGATATTACTGTCAGTAGCTAAAATCAAGCATATTCGCGCTAGATGACCTAAATAAAAGATAAAACAGGTGCATGATGCAGCATTCCTCCTTCAGAATATCAGGAGGAGGAGGAAATCCCACCTTCTTTTGCCAAAAAAAATTGTATCAGTGCAATGTGCCGCTTTGAATTAGCTGTTACAATGTCGTCATCTACAGGCCATTTAGAGAAGGGTACGGGGACACGGCCGGGGCTGTCAGATTTATATTTATTTGCCTCAAAAACTTGTTTCATATACCGGTATATGATATAATAATTAATACGTAATTTGGATTTGATGGGTTTTTCTGTTTGCACATGCTTATTTCTTTCTTGAGATGCGTTGGGGCAATTATTTAAGATCAAAACAGATCAAATCCCGCCCCAAAACTAGCGTAGTGATCTTTCATTGGTCAAAGCTAATGCCAATCAAATCCAAACTTCATCAACAACACAGAGGTCGGTCTTGGGAGGAGCATTCGTGAATTCTGAAATTTTGTAGGTAGCTTGATGAACGTTTATGAGATGCAAAGACATTGGGCACTGTTCGGGAAATGTATTGTGTTTCATTGACAATGGTTTTGAATATGTCAATTTAACGCATTGATATTGCCCTTGGCCTTGGTGGCTAGCAAGCTAGCTAGCAAGCAAGCTTCTTCAACGTCTGCGAGACTGGCGCTTGCTGCTGATGACAAGAAAGGGCATCGTGGCCTGACACAACAATCCGACTGTCTCGGGACTTCAATTTGAATTTGTTGCAACCATGAAGTTCACGCAATTTTTGCTAAGGAACAGCTCCATACCTAAACAAGCACTAGTGGATAGGTTTTCCAAGTTCTCACCATCGCCGCTGTCAATGAAGCAATTCATAGACTTTGGTAAGTTTTCATCCCTGTCCTGTCATAATAACACGGCTAAACAATAATACTGTCCACGTTAATTCTGAATCCATAGCACAACAAGTACCACTTGTTGCATTATCAAAGTAGCTAGAATGTTTGTTGTGGTGCATTGACCGCTGTCACTGACCAGTATACTGTACTGTATGTGCTCCCTGATCACAGAGGAACTCTCTGCTGAAGCTTTGACAAACATACTTTCAGCTCTATTCTTCCTTATCATGTTACTGCTGTATATGGATGTAGCTACCTAACCAGACTGTGATTACCATTGTATTTCCCTTCTCCTGTCCTGACGCCTGAAATTAGAGAATGACTGCAATACAGTAGTTCAAAATGTACAGACTTCGATATTGTATCAAATCCCTAATGATAGGATACTTCACTGGGATGGTTTGGAATACAGCAAGGGGAAATAAATACCCGGTTCATCCTTTACTCTTAGATAGCACTTGACCCATGTTCTCGGGTGAAAACATGACATAATACTGCTGCCAGAACAAACCAATCAATCAATCAATCAATTTTATTTTATATAGCCCTTCGTACATCAGCTAATATCTCGAAGTGCTGTACAGAAACCCAGCCTAAAACCCCAAACAGCTAGTAATGCAGGTGTAGAAGCACGTCGGTGGCTAGGAAAAACTCCCTAGAAAGGCCAAAACCTAGGAAGAAACCTAGAGAGGAACCAGGCTATGAGGGTTGGCCAGTCCTCTTCTGGCTGTGCCGGGTGGAGGTTATAACAGAACCATGCCAAGATGTTCAAAAATGTTCATAAGTGACAAGCATGGTCAAATAATAATCAGGAATAAATCTCAGTTGGCTTTTCATAGCCGATCATTAAGAGTTGAAAACAGCAGGTCTGGGACAGGTAGGGGTTCCATAACCGCAGGCAGAACAGTTGAAACTGGAATAGCAGCAAGGCCAGGCGGACTGGGGACAGCAAGGAGTCACCACGGCCGGTAGTCCCGACGTATGGTCCTAGGGCTCAGGTCTCTCAGTTGGCTTTTCATAGCCGATCATTAAGAGTTGAAAACAGCAGGTCTGGGACAGGTAGGGGTTTCGTAACCGCAGGCAGAACAGTTGAAACTGGAATAGCAGCAAGGCCAGGCGGACTGGGGACAGCAAGGTGTCAGCATGCCCGGTAGTCCTGACGTATGGTCCTAGGGCTCAGGTTCTCAGAGAGAAAGAGAGAACGAGAGAATTAGAGAGAGCATACTTAAATTCACACAGGACACTGGATAAGACAGGAGAAGTACTCCAGGTATAACCAACTAACCCCAGCCCCCCGACACATAAACTACTGCAGCATAAATACTGGAGGCTGAGACAGGAGCGGTCCGGAGACACTGTGGCCCCATCCGAAGAAACCCCCGGACAGGGCCAAACAGGAAGGATATAACCCCACCCACTCTGCCAAAGCACAGCCCCCGCACCACTAGAGGGATATCCTCAACCACCAACTTACAATCCTGAGACAAGGCCGAGTATAGCCCACAGAGGTCTCCACCACAGCACAAACCAAGGGGGGGCGCCAACCCAGACAGGAAGATCACGTCAGTAACTCAACCCACTCAAGTGACGCACCCCTCCTAGGGACGGCATGAAAGAGCACCAGCAAGCCAGTGACTCAGCTCCTGTAACAGGGTTAGAGGCAGAGAACCCCAGTGGAGAGAGGGGAACCGGCCTGGCAGAGACAGCAAGGGCTGTTCGTTGCTCCAGAGCCTTTCCGTTCACCTTCACACTCCTGGGCCAGACTACACTCAATCATATGACCTACTGAAGAGATAAGTCTTCAGTAAAGACTTAAAGGTTGAGACCGAGTCTGCGTCTCTCACATGGGTAGGCAGACTGTTCCATAAAAATGGAGATCTATAGGAGAAAGCCCTGCCTCCCGCTGTTTGCTTAGAAATTCTAGGGACAATTAGGAGGCCTGCGTCTTGTGACCGTAGCGTACGTATTGGTATGTACGGCAGGACCAACTTGGAAAGATAGGTAGGAGCAAGCCCATGTAACGCTTTATAGGTTAACAGTAAAACCTTGAAATCAGCCCTTGCCTTAACAGGAAGCCAGTGTAGGGAAGCTAGCACTGGAGTAATATGATCAAATTTCTTGGTTCTAGTCAGGATTCTAGCAGCCGTATTTAGCACTAACTGAAGTTTATTTAGTGCTTTATCCGGGTAGCCGGAAAATAGAGCATTGCAGTAGTCTAACCTAGAAGTAACAAATGCATGGATTAATTTTTCTGCATCATTTTTGGACAGAAAATTTCTGATTTTTGCAATGTTACGTAGATGGAAAAAAGCTGTCCTTGAAACAGTCTTGATATGTTCGTCAAAAGAGAGATCAGGGTCAAGAGTAACGCCGAGGTCCTTCACAGTTTTATTTGAGACGACTTTACAACCATCAAGATGAATTGTCAGATTTAACAGAAGATCTCTTTGTTTCTTGGGACCTAGAACAAGCATCTCTGTTTTGTCCGAGTTTAAAAGTAAAAAGTTTTCAGCCATCCACTTCCTTATGTCTGAAACACAGGCTTCTAGCGAGGGCAATTTTGGGGCTTCACCATGTTTCATTGAAATGTACAGCTGTGTGTCATCCGCATAGCAGTGAAAGTTAACATTATGTTTTCGAATAACATCCCCAAGAGGTAAAATATATAGTGAAAACAATAGTGGTCCTAAAACGGAACCTTGAGGAACACCGAAATGTACAGTTGATTTGTCGGAGGACAGACCATTCACAGAGACAAACTGATATCTTTCCGACAGGTAAGATCTAAACCAGGCCAGAACTTGTCCGTGTAGACCAATTTGGGTTCAAGGTCTTCACCAGTTCAAGGTCTTCACATTGTCTTAAACATTTACACAACAGTGCATGTACTGTATGACCTCCTTTCTTGTGATTTTCAGTTAGTAGCCTATCCCTGGGACTGAAACAGGGAGGGACTACCTGAACTGGTCCAATGAGAAACCAACGCTTGTTTTCCATTTGATAATGTTTTGCTATGGTGTACCCACAATGAATACAACCCAGATGTGTCCTGTGTGTGTCATGTGACTGCAGGCTCGGCCAATGCCTGTGAGAAGACGTCCTTTGTGTTCCTGCGTCAGGAGCTTCCTGTCCGGCTGGCCAACATCATGAAGGAGATTGACTTCCTCCCTGACAAGCTTCTCAGCACCCCCTCACTACAGCTGCTACAGAGCTGGTACAGTAATGTTATAACACCCCTCACTACAGCTGCTACAGAGCTGGTACAGTAATGTTATAACACCCCTCACTACAGCTGCTACAGTAATGTTATAACACCCCTCACTACAGCTGCTACAGAGCTGGTACAGTAATGTTATAACACCCCTCACTACAGCTGCTACAGTAATGTTATAACACCCCTCACTACAGCTGGTACAGAGCTGGTACAGTAATGTTATAACACCCCTCACTACAGCTGGTACAGTAATGTTATAACACCCCTCACTACAGCTGGTACAGTAATGTTATAACACCCCTCACTACAGCTGGTACAGTAATGTTATAACACCCCTCACTACAGCTGGTACAGTAATGTTATAACACCCCTCACTACAGCTGCTACAGTAATGTTATAACATAGGAAATAGGTGCCAGTACTCATTTTGGGTGCCAGTACAGTTTTTATTTAGGTGATGGAACTCCACAATACTTTTGAGCTAATATTCTTTAAGAGGTGCAGGAACTCAAGCCGTAGAACATTTTGAGGTTCCGGTGAGCTTCTTCCCAATTCAAGCACTGCTCTCTGCACTAGTCTGAAATATATATGATAAATGTCTTATCTTGAACAGCCATATACTGTAGGTGATATTGCCTATTCCAACAGACTCTATAGGATGTTATTATCCTGCCGACCACAACCATGCGTAGACTATCTTACTGTACTGCCCCAGTGAGAGGTATGGGTGTATGGCCTGCAGCCTACATGGCAGGGTTGCCAGCTGTCTCAAATCTCTGTCTGTCAAGTAGGCTGCAAACGTGTACAGAGAGACAATGTGGCCTGGAACATTGTCATGTGTCATCACATTGGAACAGGAGGCTGTGTGAGACAGGATCATCAGAAGTGTAGCCGCCATGAACAATTGTGGACTACAATGTGCATCAAGTCTGTATTAGTGAGTGAGTGACAGTCATAGAGGTATTTGTCGTTTGGTAAATGGAGTTGATTGCTGAGTGCTAGTGATATCTATGATATGTTACTTCACCACTTTTGAGAAATGATTTTGGCTATTTCCTAGTTGGGTAAAACCATCAGCTAGCTATTATGTAATGTCAGGTCAAGTACAGCATAGTTGAACCTCTGAAATAGGGCAATAACTTATCGTTAGTCCCAAATGGCACCCTATTCCCTACATAGTGCACTACTTTTGACCGTTGCCCTATGGGCCCTTGTCAAAAGTAGTGCACTATATTGGGAATAGGGTAACATTTGGGACACTGACGCTGTGATAGGTGACCAGTACAGAACGCTACTGTATGTGCTGGCGTTATTGGAAATGTAATGGTACGGCAGATATATATTTATAAACTGGGTCTAAATGTAGCTGTCCACGTCATCACTACTCTATTGAGGCTACTTTTCATATCCAGATTAGGCTGTGGGTTTTTCCATAGGCCTATCTCCAGTCACAAGTATCCCTAGTTATTATGGCATGTATAAACACACCCTGTGGTTTCCATGGTCACCACAAGAGAGTCAGAGTCAGTTCCCAAATAGAATTCTGAGATTTTCAATGGTGGAACTCCAGGAGTCAACGAGGAACGGAACAGTCAACGCGGAACGGAACAGTCAACGCGGAACGGAACAGTCAACGCGGAACGGAACAGTCAACGAGGAACGGAACAGTCAAAAGTGATTAGCTGAAGGAAATAAGTGATCTTTGCCCTGGTTTCTGGCTTCTATTGGCCATATTCTCATGGCAGAATTCACTGAAGACCTTTATTTCGGCCCCTCTTTGGAAGCAACTTTAAAGGTGTATTGAAGCATTCATATAACCGTTATTATGCCTGTAGATACTTCAGAAATCATTCATTCATAAGCAAATGTCATGCTACACTCCCAAGCACTTTGCTTATAAATGCTTAATGAATGCTCTATCAAATCAAATGTATTTATAAAGCCCTTTTTACATCAGCAGATGTCACAAAGTGCTATACAGGAAACCAGCATAAAACCCCAAACAGCAAGCAATGCATATGTAGAAGCACGGTGGCTAGGAAAAACCCCTAGAAAGGCAGGAACCTAGATAGAAACCTAGAGAGGAACCAGGCTCTGAGGGGTGGCCAGTCCTCTTCTGGCTGTGTCGGGTGGAGATTATAAGAGTACATGGCCATTAAAGGCCAAATTGTTCTTCAAGATGTTCAAATGTTCATAGATGACCAGCAGGGTCAAATAATAATCACAGTGGTTGTAGAGGGTGCAACAGGTCAGTACCTCAGGAATAAATGTCAGTTGGCTTTTCATAGCCGAGCATTCAGAGGTGAGACAGCAGGTGCAGGGGAGAGAGAGTGAGGGAGAGAGAGCGAGAGTTGAAAACGGCAGCTCTGGGACAAGGTAGCACGTCCGGTGAACAGGTCAGGATTCCATAGTCGCAGGCAGAACAGTTGAAGCTGGAGCAGCAGCACGACCAGGTGGACTGGGGACAGCCTGGAGTCATCAGGCCAGTTAGTCCTGAGGCATAATCCTAGGCCTCAGGTCCTCCGGGAGGGGAGGGAGAGAGGGAGAGAATTAGAGGGAGCATTCTTCAATTCACACAGGACACCAGATAAGACAGGAGAATTACACCAGATATAACAGACTGACCCTAGTCCCCCGGCACATAGACTATTGCGGCATACAGTGCATTCGGAAAGTATTCAGACTCTTTCACTTTTTCCACATTTTGTTACGTTACAGCCTTATTCTGAAATTGATTAAATTAAATGTTTTCCTCATCAATCTACACACAATACCCCATAATGACAAAGTGAAAACAGGTTTTTGGAAATGTTTGCAAATTTATAAAAAATAAAAAACAGAAATACCTTATTTACATAAGTATTCAGACCCTTTCCTATGAGACTCGAAATTGACCTAAGGTGCATCCTGTTTCCATTGATCATCCTTGAGATGTTTTGGAAAGGCACACACCTGTCTATATAAGGTCCCACAGTTGATAGTGCATGTCAGAGCAAAAACCATGCCATGAGGTTGAAGGACTATCCGTAGAGCTCAGAGACAGGATTGTGTCGACGCACAGATCTGGGGAAGGGTACCAAAACATGTCTGCAGCATTGAAGGTCCCCAAGAACACAGTGGCCTCCATCATTCTTAAATGGAAGAAGTTTGAAACCACCAGACTCTTCCTAGAGCTGGCCGCCCGGCCAAACTGAGCAATCGGGGGAGAAGGGCCTTGGTCATGGAGGTGACCAAGAACCCGATGGTCACTCTGACAGAGTTCTAGAGTTCCTCTGTGGAGATGGGAGAACCTTCCAGAAGGACAACCATCTCTGCAGCACTCCACCAATCAGGCCTTTATAGTAGAGTGGCCAGATGGAAGCCACTCCTCAGTGAAAGGCACATGACAGCCCGCTTGGAGTTTGCCAAAAGGAACCTACAGCTACAAAAGGACTCTCAGACCATGAGAAACAAGATTCTCTGGTCTGATGAAACCAAGATTGAACTCTTTGGCCTGAATGCTAAGTGTCACGTCTGGAGGAAACCAGGCACCGTTCATCACCTTGCCAATACCATCCCTACGGTGAAGCATGGTGATGGCAGCATCATGCTGTGGGGATGTTTTTCAGCGGCAAGGACTGGGAGACTAGTCAGGATCAAGAGAAAGATGAACAGAGAGATCCTTGATGAGAGATCCTTGATGAAAACCTGCTCCAGAGCACTCAGAACCTCAGACTAGGGCTAAGATTCACTTTCCAACAGGACAATGACCCTAAGCACACAGCCAAGACAATGCAGGAGTGGCTGCGGTACAAGTCTCTGAATGTCCTTGAGTTGTCCAGCCAGAGCCCGGACTGGAGAGACCTAAAAATAGCTGTGCAGCGACACACCCCATCCAACCTGACAGAGCTTGAGAGGATATGCAAAGAAGAATGGGAGAAACTCCCCAAATACAGGTGTGCGAAGCTTGTAGCGTCATACCCAAAAAGTCTCAAGGCTGTAATTGCTGCCAAAGGTGCTTCAACAAAGTACTGAGTAAAGTGTCTGAATACTTATGTAAATGTGATATTTCAGTTTTTTATTTGTAATACATTTGCAAACATTTCTAAAAACCTGTCTTTGCTTTGTCATTATGGGGTATTGTGTATAGATTTGATGAGGGAAAAAACACAATTTAATCCATTTTAGAATAAGGCTGTAACCTCCCGAGTGGTGCAGTGGTCTAAGGCACTGCATCACAGTGCTAGCTGTGCCACTAGAGATCCTGGTTCGAATCCAGGCTCTGTCGTAGCCGGCCGCGACCGGGAGACCCATGGGGCGGCGCACAATTGGCCCAGCGTCGTCCAGGGTAGGGGAGGGAATGGCCGGCAGGGATGTAGCTCAGTTGGTAGAGCATGGCGTTTGCAACGCCAGGGTTGTGGGTTCGTTTCCCACGGGGGGCCAGTATGAAAAAATTAAAATAAAATAATGTAATAAGTCGCTCTGGATAAGAGCGTCTGCTAAATGACAAAAAATAATAATAATAATAACAAATAAAAAGACAAAAAAATATATAAACAAAAAAACGTATCAAAATGTGGAAAAAGTCAAGGGGTCTGAATACTTTTCGAATGCACTCTAGATACTGGAGGCTGCTTTAAGAATACTATGTATGAACGCTCTATAAAGCCTTTATGAATGATGCATTATTTTTCCCCTGTGTAAACTAACCAGTCTTCTGTGTTGTATTCCTACAGGTATGCAACAAGTCTCATGGAGCTAGTGGGCTTCCTGGAGGAAGAGCCCAATGATAAAAAGATCCTGAAGAAGTAAGTCAATTACACACACATCCAGTAGATGGGTAGTAGCCTTGTCTTGCTACTGTTCAGCACATCTCATTAGATAACTGAGTCATAGTTAATTCATTCAAATATATTATTTCTCTAAGCTCGGCCTATTAATAGCTACTTTCTTTAACTGAATAATGGATTGATTATGATCTGTAATCTTAATCTGAAATGGAATGTGATCTGATGGATAAAGGCTTCCACCATACCTCTGGCTCTCTTTACTGCATACAGAATAGAATGATTTCCAAGCTTTTGCAAAATATGGTTTTGAGCTGGTAGGAACCTTGCAGTGTCAGTGAATGAATGGATGAACGGATGGATGAATGAATTAAGGTTGACATCTATCCACCCAGCTACATACCTTAGGTTCCTTTTATGGTAGGTGTTGGAATGTGCTGAGTTGTGAACTTAAGACCCAGCCTTAAAAAACCTTTCCTCTCCCCTCTCCTGTCTCCCCTCAGGTTCACTGAGACGCTGGTGAACATCAGGAACCGCCACAACAACGTGGTCCCCACCATGGCACAGGGCGTGGTGGAGTACAAGGAGGCCTTCGGCTCCGACCCCGTGACCAATCAGAACATCCAGTACTTCCTGGATCGCTTCTACATGAGCCGCATCTCCACACGCATGATCATGAACCAGCACTGTCAGTATACTGTACTAAATATACACTGAGTGTACAAAACATTCAAACCGGTGCGCCATGCACCTACTACCATACCCTGTTCAAAGGCACTTAACTATTTTGTCTTGCCCATTGTCGTAGAAATGTTAGTACTGAGAGAGGCTTAGACAACTATTCAATCAATCATCTTTATTTAACATCGATTAATTATTGCAATAATGAAGCCGTCGACCGCACACTCTGAATGTGTGTTGCCGAGAGCTTAACTAATAATGAAAACACAGAAATGCTTAGTCATGGCTGGTTCCACCCCTTCCATGCAGATTGGGGGCACTATAAGCCACTTTGGGTTCATCTCCTGGTCGTCTGCCTCTGGTGTTATTTTTAACCCCACCTCGTCTTAGTTTCCCAGATGCCAGGATAATTAGGAATACTGAGGCCCAGATGCCAGGATAATTAGGAATACTGAGGCCCAGATGCCAGGATAATTAGGAATACTGAGGCCCAGATGCCAGGATAATTAGGAATACTGAGGCCCAGATGCCAGGATAATTAGGAATACTGAGGCCCAGATGCCAGGATAATTAGGAATACTGAGGCCCAGATGCCAGGATAATTAGGAATACTGAGGCCCAGATGCCAGGTTAATTAGGAATACTGAGGCCCAGATGCCAGGATAATTAGGAATACTGAGGCCCAGATGCCAGGATAATTAGGAATACTGAGGCCCAGATGCCAGGATAATTAGGAATACTGAGGCCCAGATGCCAGGTTAATTAGGAATACTGAGGCCCAGATGCCAGGATAATTAGGAATACTGAGGCCCAGATGCCAGGATAATTAGGAATACTGAGGCCCAGATGCCAGGATAATTAGGAATACTGAGGCCCAGATGCCAGGATAATTAGGGATACTGAGGCCCAGATGCCAGGATAATTAGGAATACTGAGGCCCAGATTCCAGGATAATTAGGAATACTGAGGCGTTTGTTCAGTTCCTCCAGGCTCTCTCTGTAGCTCAGCTGGTAGAGCACAGCGCTTGTAACGTCATGGTAGTGGGTTCGATCCCCGGGACCACCCATACACAAAAAATGTATGCACGCATGACTGTAAGTCGCTTTAAGTAAAAGCGTCTGCTAAATGGCATATTATTATTATTATTATTATTATTATTATTATTATTATCTGGTTAAACATACACCACATCTTGTCTATGGGATGTAGGCTGTAAATCAATTGTCAGCAGAAGCTATCTCTAGTGACCATATGCCCAGATTAGCTGCAGGGAGTTAGAGTGGAGACCATGAAACACAGCATTAGTAGAACAGACATGTCTTACTGTTTGTTAAGTAAATCATTGTTAAATATCCAACAAATCAGGTAAATGCTGTCACACCATTCACCCTCTGAATGGCACACATACGCAATCCATGCCTCAATTGTCTCAAGGCTTAAAAATCCTTCTTTAACCTGTCTCCTCCCCTTCATCTACACTGATTGAAGTGGATTTAACAAGTGGCATCAATAAGAGATCATAGCTTTCACCTGGTCAGTCTATGTCATGGAAAGAGCAGGTGTTCTTAATGTTTTGTACACTCAGTGTATACCATACTACTATAATAGTGTATTAATATACAGTGCATTCGGAAAGTATTCAGACCCCTTGCCTTTTACAGCCTTATTCTAAAAATGGATTTCAAAAATGTTTCCCTTCATCAATCTACACACAATACCCCATAATGACAAAGCAAAAACAGGTTTTAAAAGAAAATATGGAAATAACACATTTACATAAATATTGAGACCCTTTACTCAGTACTTTTTTTGAAGCACCTTTGGCAGCGATTACAGCCTTGAGTCTTCTTGGGTATGACACTACAAGCTTGGCACACCTGTATTTGGGGAGTTTCTTCCATTCTTCTCTGCAGATCCTCTCAAGCTCTGTCAGGTTGGATGGGGAGCGTCGCGGCACAGCTATTTTCAGGTCTCTCCAGAGATGTTCGATCGGGTTCAAGTCCGGGCTCTGGCTGGGCCACTCAAGGACATTCAGAGACTTGTCCCGAAGCCACTCCTGCGTTGTCTTAGCTGTGTGCTTAGGGTTGTTGTCCTGTTGGAAGGTGAACCTTCGCCCCAGTCTGAGGTCCTAAGCGCCTAATACTTTTCATCAAGTATCTCTCTGTACTTTGCTCCGTTAATCTTTCCCTCGATCCTGACTAGTCTCCCAGTCCCTGCCGCTGAAAAACATCCCCACAGCATGATGCTGCCACCACCTTGCTTCACCATAGGGATGGTGCCTGGTTTCCTCCATACGTAATGCTTGGCATTCAGGCCAAAGAGTTAAATCTTGTTTTCATCAGACCAGAGAATCTTGTTTCTCATGGTCTGAGAGTCCTTTAGGTGCCTTTTGGCAAACTCCAAGCGGGCTGTTGTGCCGTTTACTGAGGAGTAGCTTCCGTCTGGTCACTCTACCATAAAGGCCTGATTGGTGGAGTGCTGCAGAGATGGCTGTCCTTCTGGAAGGTTCTCCCATCTCCTCTGGAGCTCTGTCAGAGTGACCATCGGGCTCCTGGTCACCTCCCTGACCAAGGCCCTTTTCCCCCAATTGCTCAGTTTGGCCGGGCGGCCAGCTCTAGGAAGAGTCTTGGTGGTTCCAAACTTCTTCCATTTAAGAATGATGGAGGCCACTATGTTCTTGGGGACCTTCAATTCTGGTACCCTTCCCCAGATCTGTGCCTCGACACAATCCTGTCTCGGATCTCATACCATACGTAAAAATGTATGCACACATGACTGTAAGTCGCTTTGGATAAAAGCGTCTGCTAAATGGCATATTATTATTATTATTATTATTATTATTATTATTATCTCTACGGACAATTCCTTCGACCTCATGGCTTGATTTTTGCTCTGACATGCACTGTCAACTGTGGGACCTTATATAGACAGGTGTGTGCCTTTCCAAATCATGTCCAATCAATTGAATTTACCACAGGTGGACTCCAAGTTGTAGAAACATCTCAAGGATGATCAATGGTAACAGGATGCACCTGAGATCAATTTCGAGTCTCATAGCAAAGGGTCTGAATACTTATGTAAATATGTTTTATTTTTAATACATTTGCAAACATTTCTAAAAAGCTGTTTTCTCTTTGTCATGATGGGGTATTGTTTGTAGATTGATGAGGAACATACATTTTTTTAAACAAAAAAGTGGAAAATGTCAAGGGGTCTGAATACTTTCCGAATGCACTGTATACCATACTCAAATGTACCATTGTGACGTGTGTTTGAATCGGCATTCAGGTGTAGTTACCACATGAGTCTCATGTACCTCTTCAGCTCTCATCTTTGATGGAAGTGCCAACCCCGCCCATCCCAAACACATTGGCACCATCGACCCAGACTGCGACGTGACGGAGGTGGTAAAAGGTACTGTCCCTCATCAGCTACACCATGCCACACAAACACACACTATACATAGTCCCTAGATAACAAGCTTGATTTACAGGCGCAGTCTCATCATCTTTCCCACTACTACAGGAGGGGGTTGTTTGAACAATTTCAGGACAGTTTGTCCTTTTTCACTTGCCTGATGACTCATCCTGATTTTAATTCCTCTGCTCTATCGATCGCTCCAAATGTCAGTCTGAACATGTCATCTTAGAAGTCGTTTGAAAAATGTATGCACTCACTAACTGTAAGTCGCTCTGGATAAGAGCATCTGCTAAAATGACAAAAAATGTAACAAAAAAAATGTTTGCGCTGACATCAAAATAACGTGATTCATGATTCATGTAGGCCGGCTCTGGCCCAACCCATCAGTTTCTGGGACCAATCAGAACGGTTTGAATGTGTTTGCATTCTAGATGTTGCCGAAGAGGGAGGCAAATCCAGACTCCTCTTGGAGAATAAACTTTAGTGGGCGTGACGTTGGGCCGAGGCGATGTGGATTGGTAGCCAGGCAACCTTTTCACCTTGAGATCTGCACAGAATATTATTCATTCTCCTGTAAATGTAAAGGCAATAGAAGACGTGTAAATGGAGACAGAGACAGACGGTTCTCCACCTATCCCTATTGCTACGTCCTTTTGTCTAGTTAGTTTAGTCTTCTACTATTATAGCGGTTACTCCCAAGTGGCACAGTCTCATCAACTGTGCCACTAGAGATCCTGGTTCGAATCCAGGCCCATGGGGCGGCGCACAATTGTCCCAGCGTCGTCCAGGGTAGGGGAGGGAATGGCCGGCAGGGATGTAGCTCAGTTGGTAGAGCATGGCGTTTGCAACGCCAGGGTTGTGGGTTTGATAAATAAAAATAATGTATGCACTCACTAACTGTAAGTCGCTCTGGATAAGAGCGTCTGCTAAATGACTAAAATGTAAATGTTATTACATTTATATTTAGTTGTTATGGTAACTAGATTGAATGTCAGTGTGCTACAGTCCTTGTCTTGTTTCGTCTGTCTGTTCCCAGATGCCTTTGATAGCTCCAAGATGCTCTGTGAGCAATACTACCTGACCTCACCAGAGATTGACATCACACAAGTCAACGGTAAATCACATTCTATACAGGGTTACAGACCTGGGTTCAGGTAGAATTTGTTTTCCTTCAAATACTTTAGCTGAACTTGATTGAGCTAGCTGCGCTTGTTTTTTCAAATTTATTTATTTTTTATTATTTTTTATTCCACCTTTATTTAACCAGGTAAGCCAGTTGAGAACAAGTTCTCATTTACAACTGCGACCTGGCCAAGATAAAGCAAAGCAGTGCGATAAAAACAACAACAACACAGAGTTACATATGGAATAAACAAAAACGTACAGTCAATAACACAATAGAAAAATAGAAAATCTATATACAGTGTGTGCAAATGTAGTAAGTTATGGAGGTAAGGCAATAAATAGGCCATAGTGCAAAATAATTACAATTTAGTATTAACACTGGAGTGATAGATGTGCAGAAGATGATGTGCAAATAGAGATACTGGGGTGCAAATGAGCAAAATAAATAACAATGTAAATAGCAATATGGGGATGAGGATGGGCTAATTTCAGATGGGCTGTGTACAGGTGCAGTGATCGGTAAGCTGCTCTGACAACTGACGCTTAAAGTTAATGAGGGAGATAAGTGTCTCCAGCTTCAGAGATTTTTGTAGTTCGTTCCAGTCATTTGCAGCAGAGAACTGGAAGGAATGGCGGCCAAAGGAGGTGTTGGCTTTGGGGATGACCAGTGAGATATACCTGCTGGAACGCATACTACGGGTGGGTGTAGCTATGGTGACCAATGAGCTAAGATAAGGCAGGGATTTGCCTAGAAGTGATTTATAGATGACCTGGAGCCAGTGGGTTTGGCGACGAATATGTAGTGAGGGCCAGCCAACGAGAGCGTACAGGTCACAATGGTGGGTAGTATATGGGGCTTTGGTGACAAAACGAATGGCACTGTGGTAGACTACATCCAATTTGCTGAGTTGAGTGTTGGAAGCTATTTTGTAAATGACATCGCCGAAGTCAAGGATCGGTAGGATAGTCAGTTTTACGAGGGCATGTTTGGCAGCATGAGTGAAGGAGGCTTTGTTGCGAAATAGGAAGCCGATTCTAGATTTAACTTTGGATTGGAGATGCTTAATGTGAGTCTGGAAGGAGAGTTTACAGTCTAACCAGACACCTAGGTATTTGTAGTTGTCCACATATTCTAAGTCAGACCCGCCGAGAGTAGTGATTCTAGTCGGGCTGGCAGGTGCAAGCAGCGTTTGATTGAAGAGCATGCATTTAGTTTTACTAGTGTTTAAGAGCAGTTGGAGACTACGGAATGAGTGTTGTATGGCATTGAAGCTCGTTTGGAGGTTTGTTAACAGAGTTTCCAATGAAGGGCCAGATGTATACAAAATGGTGTCGTCTGCGTAGAGATGGATCTGAGAGTCACCAGCAGCAAGAGCGACATCATTGATATACACAGAGAATAGAGTCGGCCCGAGAATTGAACCCTGTGGCACCCCCATAAAGACTGCCAGAGGTCCAGACAACAGGCCTTCCGATTTGACACATTGAACTCTATCTGAAAAGTAGTTGGTGAACCAGGCGAGGCAGTCAGTTGAGAAACCAAGGCTATTTAGTCTGCCAATAAGAATGCGGTGATTGACAGAGTCAAAAGACTTGGCCAGGTCGATGAAGACTGCTGCACAGTACTATCTTTTATCAATCGCGGTTATTATATCGTTTAGGACCTTGAGCGTGGCTGAGGTGCACCCATGACCAGCTCGGAAACCATATTGCATAGCGGAGAAGGTACGGTGGAATTTGAAGTGGTCGGTGATCTGTTTGTTAACTTGGCTTTCAAATACTTTCGAAAGGCAGGGTAGGATGGATATAGGTCTGTAACAGTTTGGATCTAGAGTGTCACCCCCTTTGAAGAGGGGGATGACCGCGGCAGCTTTCCAATCTCTGGGGATCTCCGACGATACGAAAGAGAGGTTGAACAGGCTAGTAATAGGGGTTGCGACAATTTCGGCGGCTAATTTTAGAAAGAAAGGATCCAGATTGTCTAGCACAGCTGATTTGTAGGGGTCCAGATTTTGCAGCTCTTTCAGGACATCAGCTATCTACATTTGGGTGAAGGAGAAGCGAGGGGGGCATGGGCAAGTTGCAGCGGAGGGTGCAGAGCTGGTGGCCGGGGTAAGGGTAGCCAGGTGGAAAGCATGGCCAGCCATAGCAAAATGCTAATTGAAATTCTCGATTATTGTAGATTTATCGGTGGTGACAGTGTTTCCTAGCCTCAGTGCAGTGGGTAGCTGGGAGGAGTTGCTATTATTCTCCATGGACTTTACAGTGTCCCAAAACTTTTTGGAGTTAGTGCTACAGGATACAAATTTCTGTTTGAAAAAGCTAGCCTTTGCTTTTTCTAAGAGCGTTGTGCCAGTAACCGAAAGGTCGTTGGTTCTAATCCCCGAGCCGACTAGGTGAAAAATCTGTCGATGTGCCCTTGAGCAAGGCACTTAACCCTAATTGCTCCTGTAAGTCACTCTGGATTAGAGCGTCTGCTAAATGACTCAAATCTAAAATGTAAATGTTTCTAGTTCTCCTATTTCCAAAATAATAAAATTTGGTAAGCAAGTGGGTTTAGGCTAGGGGTTGGTTAAGAGCGTCGGGCCAGTAACCGAAAGGTCGCTGGTTTGAATCCCCGAGCCGACTAGGTGAAAAGTATTTCTGTGCACTTGAGCAAGGCACTTAACCCTAATTGCTCCTGTAAGTCGCTCTGGATAGGAGTGTCTGCTAAATGACTAAAATATCAATGTAAAATGGTTTACAGAAACAATCTGCAAGGTCATATTTGCATTGTGAGTTGTTTGAGGTTTGGCTAGGTTTCAGTTGAGTTTATTTGTCTGCGCATGGGTTGGGTATTCTTGATCTCGCATTCAATTCCTTTGTCTACTCAATTTGGGGCGCAATTTGCTAAATGTTTGTGGGCACAGGCTAGCCTGTGTGAGTGGTGTTCAGAGATATTTATCTGAACCATTTTTAGCGGTTAGCTATGTTGCTTTAGCTCATACAGTGTGCGTCTGTTTACTCAGCTAGGGTTGTCAGGAGTGAGACTGCTTACTCTCAGCTAGGGTTGTTAGGAGTGAGACTGCTTACTCTCAGCTAGGGTTGTTAGGAGTGAGACTGCTTACTCTCAGCTAGGGTTGTCAGGAGTGCGACTGCTTACTCTCAGCTAGGGTTGTCAGGAGTGAGACTGCTATCTCTCAGCTAGGGTTGTCAGGAGTGAGACTGCTTTCTCTCAGCTAGGGTTGTCAGGAGTGAGACTGTTTATTCTCAGCTAGGGTTGTCAGGAGTGAGACTGCTTTCTCTCAGCTAGGGTTGTCAGGAGTGAGACTGCTTACTCTCAGCTAGGGTTGTCAGGAGTGAGACTGCTATCTCTCAGCTAGGGTTGTTAGGAGTGAGACTGCTTACTCTCAGCTAGGGTTGTCAGGAGTGCGACTGCTTACTCTCAGCTAGGGTTGTCAGGAGTGAGACTGCTATCTCTCAGCTAGGGTTGTCAGGAGTGAGACTGCTTTCTCTCAGCTAGGGTTGTCAGGAGTGAGACTGTTTATTCTCAGCTAGGGTTGTCAGGAGTGAGACTGTGTTTTCTGTATCTGAGGCACACAGACTTTGAACCACAGGCAGCCATGTATACAGAGAACCATTCATTCATACATCTCACTTACATAGAAGTGAATAAATATTGAATGTTTGTGTAAGTGTAGGTTAAATGTGTGGTATGAACAGGATAATAGACAATAGCACCACTTCAAAAGTCTAACCATGACAAATGATAATCTTTGCTAAAACTAGATCAAATCCTGATGTAATTTGGTGCCCAACCATTCAAAACATGCCAGCCATAAAATAACATTGGACTGCACAGTCTAGCCTACAGTACCAGTCAAAAGTTTGGACACACCTACTCATTCAAGGGTTATTCTTTATTTGGACTATTTTCTACATTGTAGAATAATAGTGAAGACATCAAAACTATGAAATAACACATATGGAATCATGTAGTAACCAAAAATGAGTTAAACAAATCAAAATATATTTTAGATTATTCAAAGTAGCCACCCTTTGCCTTGATGACAGCTTTGCACACTGTTGTCATTCCCTCAACCAGCTTCATGAGGTAGTCACCTGGAATGCTTTTCCAACAGTCTTGAAGGAGTTCCCACATATGCTGAGCACTTGTTGGCTGCTTTTCCTTCACTCTGCCGTCCGACTCATCCCAAACCATCGCAATTGGGTTGAGGTCGGGTGATTTGTGGAGGCCAGGTCATCTGATGCAGCACTCCATCACTCTCCTTCTTGGTCAAATAGCCCTTACACAGCCTGGAGGTGTGTTTTGGGTCATTGTCCTGTTGAAAAACAAATGATAGTCCCACTAAGCGCAAACCAGATGGGATGGCGTATCGCTGCAGAATGCTGTGGTATCCATGCTGGTTAAGTGTGCCTTGAATTCTAAATAAATCACTGACAGTGTCACCAGCAAAGCACTCCCACACCATCACACATCCTCCTCCATGTTCACGGTGTGAACCACACATGCGGAGATCATCCGTTCACCAACTCTACGTCTCACAAAGACATGGCGGTTGCAACCAAAAATCTCAAATTTGGACTCAGACCAAAGGACAGACTTCCACCAGTCTAATGTCCATTGCTTGTGTTTCTTGGCCCAAGCAAGTCTCTTCTTCTTATTGGTGTCCTTTAGTAGTGGTTTCTTTGCAGCAATTCAACCATGAAGGCCTGATTCACGCAGTCTCCTCTGAACAGTTGATATTGAGATGTGTCTGTTACTTGAACTCTTTGAAGCATTTATTTGGGCTGCAATCTGAGGTGCAGTTAATTGCCGATTTCTGAGACCGGTAACTCTAATGAATTTATCCTCTGCAGCAGAGGTAACTTTGGGTCTTTCTTTTCTGTGGCGGTCCTCATGAGAGCCAGTTTCATCATAGCGCTTGATGGTTTTTGCGACTGCACAAATGTTCCGTATTGACTGACCTTCATGTCTTAAAGTAATGATGGACTGTCGTTTGTCTTTGCTTATTTGAGCTGTTCTTGCCATAATATGGACTTATAGGGCTATCTTCTGTATACCCCCCCTACCTTGTCACAACACAACTGATTGGTTCAAACACATTAAGAAGGAAAGAAATTCCACAAATTAACTTTTAAGAAGGCACACCTGTTAATTGAAATGCATTCCAGGTGACTACCTCATGAAGCTGGTTGAGAGAATGCCAAGAGTGTGCAAAGCTGTCATCAAGGCAAAGGGTGGCTACTTTGAAGAAACTTAAATATAAGATATATTTTGATTTCTTTAACACTGTTATGGTTACTACATGATTCCATATGTGTTATTTCATAGTTTTGATGTCTTCACTATTATTCTACAATGTAGAAAATAGTCAAAATAAAGAAAAACCCTTGAATGAGTAGGTGTGTCCAAACTTTGGACTGGTACTGTACATCTAATTCATTACATTGGGGTGTCGGGCAGTCACATTAGTAATAATGATTAATCAAAACTGTTATGTCATAGTTTGCCTTTGGTCAATGTGCACTAAATCAATCACCACCAGTCTGTTATCTGTCTCCAGTCAGCAGCAGTGGAACAGAACAGCAACAAGCCCCTTGCTACAGGCTTAGTTTTGTCGCCGGGCAGATTTCTCTCACTCAGTGAAGCGTCCAAGTCTAACTCTCAATAACAAACCTCAGTTCACCCCAATTCAGCTATTTAATAGTCACCATGTTAAATGAGCCATAAAAAAGAAAAACAAGCTCTGTTCATGGGTTTGGTTATAGAAGCCTCGTCCCCAGGGCCCAGTTTTTCAACTTTTCCGTCTGGACTTCACCTATCGGATAGGATTCAATGCATACAAATAGAATGAATAGAGCGAACAAATCATTCACTTGAGTGGCGACTCCTGTTCATTATATTTTTATGCATTTAATCCTATCCGATAGCCGAAATCAGGATCGATAACTTTTGAAAAACTAGGCCCTGGCTGTCAGAAGTGACTGGTAATCAGATTAGGTTGGCAGGAGAGTAAATTATTAATTTGATAGTGGTTATTGAGTTGAGTTGTGCATGTTATGCATATTCAATAAGAAGTTAAAGTTGTTTTTGGTTTCTAGTAACTTCTATTCTCAGTTGTGTATGTTATACATTTTCAATAAGTCTAAGTCATGTTTGGTTTGGAGTCATTTGGAGTAATCCTCAGTGTTCCTCAGCCAAAGCTCCTGACCAGCCTCTTCGTATTGTCTATGTGCCCTCCCATCTCTACCACATGCTGTTTGAGCTCTTCAAGGTACACCACCAAACATTTACCTTCTTCTGTATAAACATTTAATTACAAGTATGAGGGAGCCTACAACAGAGCATACTATTGTCAGTTTTATTTATATTACCTCAATTTGATTAATATTACTTTGTAATTTTCTCAAGCAATGGTTGTTTTGTTTCCAGAACGCCATGAGAGCAACAGTGGAGACTCATGAAATGGCCCTGCATCTCCCGCCGGTCAAAGTCCGAGTCTCACTGGGCAGTGAGGACCTAACAATCAAGGTAAACACAGGTTCAGAGAGTATTAACCGTCCACCATCACAATGAGACATGACACATTACATTCCCAGGAGACAAATAGTAGTGCATGCACATCCAACAGGCTTCTACAGATGCAGGTTGGAAATAATACCATGGGACATGGAAGCCTACAGTATAATGTGTATATTTGTCTATGAACACATACAGTAGTACTATAGATTTCCTCCCGTGGTTGTTCTGTAGGTCCTATATGATGATATTTGGGAGACAACAGGAAGATCAGATAGGCTGGAACCGAGAGTGGAACAGACCTTCTGTAATGTTGTTGTTGTTTATAGATATCAGATCGAGGAGGCGGAGTCCCCCTGAGGAAGATAGAGCGTCTGTTCAGCTACATGTACTCCACCGCCCCCAGCCCTGTCGATATTGACAACAGCCGCAATGCACCACTGGTAAGACCCTGTCCTGGTGCCATTTAAACTATATATAGTTGAGTGCATTCGGAAAGTATTCAGACCCCTTGACTTTTTCCACATTTTGTTACGTTACAGCCTTATTCTAAAATTGATTAAATTGTTTTTTTCTCTCATCAATCTAGTCATGTGCCTTTCACTGAGGAGTGGCTTCCGTCTGGCCACTCTACCATAAAGGCCTGATTGGGGGAGTGCTGCAGAGATGGTTGTCCTTCTGGAAGGTTCTCCCATGTGCCTTTTGCTGAGGAGTATTTGTATTTATTATGGATCCCCATTAGCTGCTGCCAAGGCAGCAGCTACTCTTCCATAGGGTCTGGCAAAATCCATGTGTACGTGTGTGTGTATAGTGCGTATGTTATCGTGTGTCTGTGCCTATGTTTGTGTTGATTTACAGTCCCTGCTGTTCCATAAGGTGTATTTTTATCTTTAAAAAAAATCTAATTATATTGCTTGCATCAGTTACCTGATGTGGAATAGAGTTCCATGTAGTCATGGCTTCCGTCTGGCCACTCTACCATAAAGGCCTGATTGGTGGAGTGCTGCAGAGATGGTTGTCCTTCTGGAAGGTTCTCCCAACTCACAGAGGAACTCTGGAGCTCTGTCAGAGTGACCATCGGTTTCTTGGTCACCTCCCTGACCAAGTCCCGTCTCCCTCGATGGTTCAGTTTGGCCGGGCGGCCAACTCTAGGTAGTCTTGGTGGTTCCAAACTTCTTCCATTTAAGAATGATGGAGGCCACTGTGTTCTTGGAGTCCTTCAATGATGCAGACATTTTTTGGTACCCATCCCCAGATCTGTGCCTCAACACAATCCTGTCTCGGAGCTCTATGGACAAATCCTTCGACCTCATGGCTAGGTTTTTGCTCTGACATGCACTATCAACTGTGGGACCTTATATAGACAGGTGTGTGCCTTTCCAGATCATGTCCAATCAATAGAATTTACCACAGGTGGACTCCAATCAAGTTGTAGAAACATCTCAAGGATGATCAATGGAAACAGGATGCACCTGAGCTCAATTTTGAGTCTCATAGCAAAGGGTCTGAATACTTGTGTAAATAAGGTATTTCTTTTTTTAATTATTTGCTAAAATTTCTAAAACCCTTTTTTTGCGCTTGTCATTATGGAGTATTGTGTGTAGATTGAGTACAATTTTTTATTTAATCCATTTTAGAATAAGGCTGTAACGTAACAAAATGTGGAAAAGGGGAAGGAGTCTGAAAACTTTCCGAATACAAGGTATACTATATAAAGTATACAATTAACCTAAACTACTGAAAGTGTAGTTTAACAACAAATTGTATAACTTGATTTAAGCCTATGACTTTGGCAGTTTGGCCACATGTTAGAGAGACATTTATATTTCAGTTGAATCAAGCTCCTGCTGTTTATTTTATCTCAGCTAAAATTTAAACCGCAACCAAGTCTATACTGACTAAAATGTAAACCGCAACCAAGTCTATACTGACTAAAATGTAAACCGCAACCAAGTCTATACTGACTAAAATGTAAACCGCAACCAAGTCTATACTGACTAAAATGTAATCTGTGAGCGAACAGAAGTGAACACGGTTGTAAATTAGCAGAATGACAAACCGGACTGGACTGTTCATTCATTGCCCGGGGTTATAAGTGTAACTGTGAGTGCTTGTCTCCTACTGTACTGTGACTGTTCAGAGTGAGTTTAACTCTTTGTGTCCCTGGCTCTGGTTCTCTGTAGGCTGGTTTCGGCTACGGTCTCCCCATCTCCCGTCTCTATGCCAAGTACTTCCAGGGAGACCTGCAGCTCTACTCCATGGAGGGATATGGGACGTCAGCTGTCATCTACCTGAAGGTAACACTTCTACACATGGAATTTGTTAGTTCAACAGTCTTAACTTGTTGTCTTGTTCTACTCTAAAATAATTTAACATCTAAACAATGATGGCGTTTTTGAAGTATGTAAAGGTTCATTTTCAATATTGGTTCACGCGCTAAAGTATGGCTCACAGAGTTATAACTTAAGCTCAGATTTCACTCTGTCCTATTCATTCAAAACATACCGTTATGTTAAACATGGTTACCTAATACCCAATGCTCATGTAATTCCATTACCCACTTAAATAACATCCATCTGATGCATCTGAATGTGGGTCATGATGGAAGACTCATCATGTGACCAGCATGTGATAGACCTTTGTCCTCATAACCTAACTTACCACCACTCTGTGCTCCATTACCAGGCCTTTTCGTTATATAACCTAACCTACTGCTCCACTCTGTTATCCATTACCAGGCCTTTTCGTTATATAACCTAACCTACCACTCGACTCTGTGCTCCATAAACAGGCCTTGTCCTCAGAGTCTGTGGAAAGACTTCCTGTTTACAACCAGTCAGCCATAAGGCATTACCAGACGAGCAACGAGGCAGATGACTGGTGCATGCCCAGCAAGGATCCCAAGAAGCTGGGGAAGTATGAGAGGAGAAGTTAACCAAACAGACAGAGAGAGAGAGAGCTCAGATAACATGAAGAATGGAGGAGGAGGAAGTAAGAAGAGGAGGATGACCGAAAGGAGGGATGGGATGATGATTCATAATCACAAACTGACAGAAGGTACCCAGTTGTACCCACAGCTTTTGACCTGGTGTGTGTGTGTGTGTGTGTGTGTGTGTGTGTGTGTGTGTGTGTGTGTGTGTGTGTGTGTGAGAGAGTGATCGGGATTCTTCGCAATGGGGATTCTCATCCATCACTTGAAGTGGAAAAACACATCAATGTCGGAGGCGTTTCAATGGCAATACCAGGATCTCTATTCAGTAAGCCACTTCGGTAAGCCAATACCAGGATCTCTATTCAGTAAGCCACTTCGGTAAGCCAATACCAGGATCTCTATTCAGTAAGCCACTTCGGTAAGCCAATACCAGGATCTCTATTCAGTAAGCCACTTCGTGAATGTTACAGTTAGAAACAGGGCCATACACTACTCACAATCACATCTCACCTTTTGGTTTCATTTATCCACAAGCTATTCATTTCACTCACTTATTTTAACATTATGACACTGAAGCAGCGTAAAAAGCTAGCGTTTCGCTTAAAAGGTGCATTTTCGTTTGGAACTGATCATTTCATTTATCAAACGACTGAATTTGGTTATACAGTGATATAATCTGTACTATCACAGTAGTATTATCTGTGATACAACATTTTAGATTTTGAATCTAGTTTTCTCTAAACTCTTCACTCACAGCTACGGTTTGCAGCTAGGACACTGAGCTCCATGGACGCAGATATATATACAGTGGGGAGAACAAGTATTTGATACACTGCCGATTTTTGCAGGTTTTCCTACTTACAAAGCATGTAGAGGTCTGTAATTTTTATCATAGGTACACTTCAACTGTATGTGACGTAATCTAATACAAAAATCTGTGTAGTTCTGGGCTGATCCCTCACCTTCCTCATGATCATTGATGCCCCACGAGGTGAGATCTTGCATGGAGCCCCAGACCGAGGGTGTTTGACCGTCATCTTGATCTTCTTCCATTTTCAAATAATTGCGCCAACAGTTGTTGCCTTCCACCAAGCTGCTTGCCTATTGTCCTGTAGCCCATCCCAGCCTTGTGCAGGTCTATAACTTTATCCCTGATGTCCTTACACAGCTCTCTGGTCTTGGCCATTGTGGAGAGGTTGGAGTCTGTTTGATTGAGTGTGTGGACAGGTGTCTTTTATACAGGTAACGAGTTCAAACAGGTGCAGTTAATACAGGTAATGAGTGGAGAACAGGAGGGCTTCTTAAAGAAAAACTAACAGGTATGTGAGAGCCGGAATTCTTACTGGTTGGTAGGTGATCAAATACTTATGTCATGCAATAAAATGCAAATGAATTACTTAAAAATCATACAATGTGATCTTCTGGATTTTTGTTTTAGATTCCGTCTCTCACAGTTGAAGTGTACCTATGATAAAAATTACAGACCTCTACATGCTTTGTAAGTAGGAAAATCTGCAAAATCGGCAGTGTATCAAATACTTGTTCTCCCCACTGTATATATAGTGTGTCAGTCAGAAACAGATGTCAAGGCCATGCTGTCAGTCAATGGGTTTTCTCTGGTTACCCTTTTACTACAGGGTGGGGGATGACACACTACATACCTTATTGTGTTTTGTGGGTACATAGTGGCCAACAAATGTTATTTTGAGCAGACTATGTAGACTCCATATAGTTTAAACTCTGAGCGTTTCACCTTTTGTTTTTTACAGCTTACAAATATCCGTCAACCTCGAAGTTTAGACAAAAGTTTATCTCCAATGTTTTTTGGGGCTAAAGGGATTTTTGTTGTTGTTCCCAAATCAACTGTAAATCTTGGTGACTCATTTTTTGTTCCACCCTCGCTTGTTGAATAAGACAAGAGATCAAACAAAGGTCATTCATTAAAGGTTTCCTATGAAGACAGAAAATAGATATTGAAGACATTGAGGTATTCTAGTCTAGTACATTTATTCTAACCAAGTACAACTGAGTTTCAAAGTATAAGTTATGTGAATATTGAGATACATTTTCTATCATACTGTTATGATATTTTTAAAGGAACACTCCATTTTGTAGTGTTACTAAAATTATTGAATTTTAGAGGCCGGCTAGGTCTTCTATACATAAAGTATTTATTGAATAATGTTGTGTGCCAGAGAGCAAAATGGGAGTATTATCACATTTCTGTGATTAGGTACACAGTAAGACTGAGTTGAATCAAATGTTTGACTGGTGCCCAACTCAGTGTGGGTATTCTTTGATGTGTTAATTGGGGCAGTCATTACAAAATAAATTCATTTCATTTCATGGTATTCACTAAATAGTCACTATAATTACACTCCTTAGCAATAAGAAATCACATAAAAGACTATGAACACTTACTAACATTTAATCCAATAACGGCTAAGTATTTTGTAACCAGTCAATATTTGTATGTGCATTGAAACTAAACAAGAATGGTTTGAGACTAAACGAACACTGAAGTGCCAACTTTTATTTAGCTCTTTCTGGTTTTTAACATGTATGGTTTTAAATCACACGATCTCAGGATGTTGAAGGCATTTCATATTTTTTCAAAGTATCACCATAAGTGCTGTGATGTCATATTAAACGGACCTGGGAGGAGCTATCTGTCAGTGGAAGTTGCTGATTGGACCTCCTCACACTGTGGGCGGAGTCCTAACTTATTATTGTTGACATGAATAGATGATTTACCAATATATATTATTTGGGTTATGGGCCAGCCATCTAATGTCAGGATTTCAGTCTTTAATTGAATTCTAAGGGAATAACAAGAGAGTGGTTAACTGCTTCTTTTAAGCATCTTTAGGTTGTTCAATAAAATGCAGCTTTATGTAGTTCTTCCTCTGCCTTTTGTCCCTCTGCCAGTGCCAAACAAAAACAGTGCCTTCAGAAAGTATTCATACCTCTTGATTTATTCCACATTTTGTTGTGTTACAGCCTGAATTCAAAATGGATTCAATAAATCTCACTCTCAAATGTATTGAAAATGAAATCTCAATTCAAGTATTCACACCCCATGAGTCAATACTTTGTAAAAGCACATTTGATTACAGCTTTGAGTCGTCTTGGGTATGTCAATCAGCTTAGCACATCTGGATTTGGGGATTTTCTCCCATTCTCAAGCTCTGTTAAGTTCGATGGGGAGTGGCGGTGAACAGCAATCTTCAAGTCTTTCCATAGATTTTCAATGGGATTCAAGTCTGGGCTTTGACTGGCCCACTCAAGGACTTTCACATACTTGTTCTGAAGCCATTCCAGCATTGCTTTGGCTGTATGCTTGGGGTCATTGTCCTGTTGGAACGTAAATCTTCGCCCCCAGTCTAAGGTTGTTTGCACTCTGAAGCAGATTCTCATCAATGATTTGCCTGTATTTGGCTTCATTCATTGTTCCCAGTATCCTTACCAGTCACCCAGTCCCTGCCGCTGAAAAGCATCCCCCATAGCATGATGCTGCCACCACCATGCTTCACGGTAGGGATGGTTTTCTCCTACACATAGCGCTTTGCATTCAGGCCAAATAATAAAATGTGTCTTATCAGACCACATCATCTTTTGCCTTATGCTCTGTCTTTCACATGCCCTTTTGCAAAGTCCAGGCGTGCTGTCATGTGCCTTTTTCTCAGGAGTGGCTTCCGTCTGGTCACTCTCCCATATAGCCCAGCTTGGTGAAGTGCTGTAGAGACTGTTGTCCTTCTGGCAGGTTCTCCCATCTCAGCCAAGGAACTCTGTAGTGCTGTCAGAGTGGTCATTGGGTTCTTGGTCACCTCCCTGACCAAGGTCCTTCTTGCCCGGTTGCTCAGTTTGGTCAGACGGCCAGCTCTAGTCTGGGTAGTTCCATATTTTTTAATTTCCCAATGATGGAGACCACTGTGCTCTTGGAAACTTTCAACACTCTAGAAATTGTTTTATACCCTTCCCCAGATATACAGTGAGCTTTTGTGTTGTTGTTTTGGCTCTGTACTCCAGCACTTTGGATTTGAAGTGCAGACTGTCAGCTTTAATTTGAAAGTATTTTGATCCATATCGGGTGAACCGTTTTGAAATTACTTTTTATACATAGTCCCCCCCCCCATTTTAGTGGACCAAAAATATTGGGACAAATTCACTTATTTGTATTAAAGTAGTAAAAAGTATTTGGTCCCATATTCATAGTACGCAATGACTACATCACGCTTGTGACTCTACAAACTGTTTGGATTTGGTTGTGTTTGATTATGTTGTGCCCAATAGAAAATAATGGTAAATGTGTTGTCATTTTGGAGTCACTTTTTATTTTAAATAAGAATAGAATGTGTTTCTAAACACTCTAACATGTTTTACCTCCCCTGTTATTGTAATGGTGAGAGGTTAGCATGTCTTGGGGGTATGATATTTGTGCGTGCTAGGAATATGGGACCAAATACTAAACTTTGGACTATTTAATACACATAATTGAATTTGTCCCAATACTTTCGGTCCCTTAAAATGGGGGGACTATGTACAAAAAGTGCTGTAATTTCTAAACAGTTCACCCTACATGGATGAAAATACCCTCAAATGACAGTCTGCACTTTAACCTCATAGTCATTGTGTCATTTCAAATCCAAAGTGCTGGACTACAGAGCCAAAGCCACAAAATATTTCACTATCCCAATACTTTTGGAGCTTACTGTATGCCTCAACACAATCTCAGCGATCTACAGACAGTTCCTTGGACTTCATGGTATAGTTTCTGCTCTGACATGCAATGTCAACTGTGGGACCTTATATAGGCAGATGTTTCTTCGTAATCATGTCCAAACATTTGGATTGGCCACAGGTGAACTCCAATCAAGTTGTAGCGACATCTCAAGGATGATCAAAGGACATTGGATGCACCTTAGCTCCATTTGGAGTGTCATAGCAAAGGTGTGTGAATACTTACGTAAATTTGATATTTCTGTATTTAATTTTCAATACATAAACATGTTTTCACTTTGTCATTACAGGGTATTGTGTGTAGATCAATGAGAATCAATTTTTATCCATTTTGAATTCGGCCTGTAAAAACAAAATGTGGAATAAGTCAAGGGGTATGAATACTTTCTGAATGCACTGTGCCTGCAGTGCTTTCCTTTAGCAGCCTTTGCATGTG